CTGTAATTGTCAAAAACTTCAAGAGAGGTAAGTGTAATTTACCCGTAAATTTAAAATTAGTATAATACAAGCCATAACTAAAATGAATGTGATTTATAAACATATATTTTTTGAATTAATTTTAAGTATATATAGTATTGATGTGTACATAATTTTTTTAAAAAAGAAATTAAAAAAAAAGGAAAAAAACTTTGTGAATAAAATGATAAGTACTTGTAATATATATTTTTCATTAATACTTCTAATCCATTTCATCAAATGTTTATTAAATCAAGTGGGAAATATTTGTTTTATCAATTGAGAATTCATCAAATTAAATTTAATGAAAATTTTAAAACATAAAGCATCCCAATCCTTTTTACTTTATGATCTAAGAGTTATTTAATTATACCTAATTTGATATTTAATTATAACTCAATCTTTTTTAATTATAACTCACATAATATTAAGTTATAACATTTGTAATAATCAAACTCACAAATAATCTAACTTAGATATGCATATCCACCATAACATTGTCATAACCAAAATAGCAACCACCATCATAACTTGGACCTATGATAATTTTTATTTTTTTAAAAAATATTTTTTTGTATTATACAATGTTAGTATTATTATTGAACAAACAAATTACTAAAATTTAGGTTGTGGTTGGTAGAGTTTTAGAATTATGATTTGATAATAGAATTGTATTTTGAATTTATGAGTTTTGAAATTATGATTTGAGTGTAAAAAATTTGTTTGGTTATAAATTTAAGAATAATGCTTGGGATCTCCTTTTGAGGGTCACCCCCTCACCCCCCTTTGCCACGTGGCGGGTGGTAATTGGAGGAGCAGAAAAAAAAAATGTAACCAATAAGAGAGAGAGGGGGTCAAAGAGGGTGGGAGGAAAAGAAAGGATGAATCATTGTTGTAAATTTAAAAAGAATTTGAATTGAATATGACATATGACATATAATATGAAAAAATAAAATATTTTAACAGTGTCACATAATTTGTATGAATTTTGTATATAAAAATTCTGTTTTTTGAATCATTTTTCACCATATAATAATACATCCTTTATAAAATATGAATAATGCTTGGGACCCCTTTTGGGGGTCACCCCCTCACCCCCTTGCCACGTGGCGGGTGGTAATTGGAGGAGCAGGAAAAAAAAGAAAAAGAAAAAGAAAATGTAACCAATGAGAGAGAGAGGGGGTCAAAGGGAGTGGGAGGAAAAGGGGATGAATCATTGTTGTAAATTTAAAAAGAATTTGAATTAAATGATATGACATATAATATGAAAAAATAAAATATTTTAAAAAATAAATGTAAAATTAATTTTCTAAAAATATAACCACACACCACACTCAAACTAAGGATTAGAATTTAATATTCAAAAACACTACCAAAAAGGATTGCTCTTTTTATCACTCTCTTTCTCCCTCTTTACTTCCTAGGATAAATTATTATTGCGGCGCGCACACATAACAACCCGTCACAAAGAAGATGGACACAAAATTCGCCGGAAAGTCCATCGCCTCCGTACACTCCGGCCGCACCGACATCGATCAAATGCCGGACACCCCTGACCGCCGCTCCCACCACCGCCGCGCCCAGCCAGAGACCTTCTTCCACTTCCTCGAACCTTGCCTCCATTGACTTCCCTTCTCTCTCCTCCGACATTGAGACCAACACCACCACCATCGCCACGGCCGTCGATTCCTCCTCCTACGACTCCTCCTCCTCCACCATCCTAGACATCTCCAAGCCCACCACTACCGCCGCCGCCGCCAACCACTTTCGTAGCTTGTCCCTCGGCAGAGACTTCTTTGAGGATCTTTAATTTGGATTGTGAAGTTAAATTAGTTGATTTAACTCTTTATTTTTAAACTGTTCTTTTTTTTAGCACAATAAAAATGAAAATTATTTGAGGCGCTTAAAATTTGATGAAATTTGGGAGTCCAACTAGGGCCGGCCCTGGTTGTTGATGGCTAATAGTAGAGTGTGCAAGAAAAAGGAGCGAAAGAAAAGTTATTTTTTAAACAAAAATGTTAGAGATGCTAAGGGTGTGTTTCGTTTGGCTTTGTAGAGTGATTTTTGGAAAAAAATTTCAAAAAATTTGTTTGGTTTGTAATTTTTTCAAAATCACTTTCTTTTACTTACGCATCAATCAATCACTTTTTCTCTCTCCTCTCTCTCCTTTCTCCTTCTCAATAATTTTTTTCTCACACACATCTACTCAATTATAACAAAATATCAAATCATTTCAAACTCCCAAACTTCAAAACTACTTTCAAAATACACAACCAAACAAATTAAAAAAAATTCTAAACTCTCTCTCCCAAAATAATTTTTAAAAACTACTCTCTCAAAACCAAACCAAACATACCCTAAAAGTTTTATCAAAATTTTTATTAAATATCTTACATATGTGTAAGATTCACATAAGACGTACATGGTATGGGACTCAGACATTTAATAAAATTTTTAATGAAACTTTTAAAATCTCTAACATTACTCTTTTTTAAATAGATTAAACTTGTTTTTAGTCTAAAATTTAGACAAATAAGTGTTTTTTTGAGTCCATGCTACTGGCAGGGTTTACTATGGATTCTTTGATAATAATTTAAATTATTTATTTTGTAAAATTTTATACATATATTATTTATAAAAAAAATTAGATCGATTTGAAAAATATAATTACTTCATTTTATCGTGTCCATCTAATGATAGATTATCAAAGCATAACGCTTAATGAGCTCCATGAGCTCGACAACACCTCCCGTCCAAACCTAATCCTTCTAAAACAATCAAAAAAAAAAAAAAAAAAAACCTTTCTTATTTCAAATTTTTTGAAAACTTTAAATTCCATTTCATTTTTCTCCAAATAAAAATGATACATTAATTTTTTTATTAATATTTAAAAAGTAAAAAATAAAAATGTTACCTAACAAGTGTCATCTTCTAATTTTTCTCCATCATTTTTCAGAGTTGTTTTTTAATTTCATTTTTTTAATTATAAAATCAGCGGTTGTGCTAGGGTAATTCTAAAAAAAAGTGTATATCATATATATATATATATATATAATGAGATTGATTACACAAATATATTTGTTAAATGGTCAAAACTAAAAAAAAATTTAATCATAACAAAACATCACATAAGTATAATTAAAGGCCTTTTAAAATTAGGATAAATTACAAATAAATCCTAATAGTTGAACTTAGACCTCGTTTGAGAATATATTATTTTAGTAATTTTTTAATTTTTTTAGCTAAAATATGAGATAAAAAAATTAGTATGTTTGGAATGAATTTTTGATTTTTTACGAAAATATGTACAAAAAGTAAAGAGAAAATGAAATATTTAACTTTTAGTATATGTTGCCTCCGTTTGGGAAGTGGGTTGGCTTTTTGGCTTTTTGGCTTTTTTGGCTATTTTAGCCTGGGCTAAAAAGCTTGGTTTGGGAAAGGCTTTTTGGCTTTTTGGCTTTTTTGACTTTTTTTGTGAGAGAAGAGTGTAATGATTATGGGTTGGATGTGATGTTTTGTTTGTTATGACTAAAATAGCCTATTTTGTTTTTTGTGGCTAAAATAGCCAAAAAAGCCCAACCAACTTCTTCCCAAACGGTGCCGTTATAGACTTTTTGATTTTTTTAGTAACTTTTTGACTTTTAAGCTAAAAGTGTTACATGTCAAACGATGCCTTAATTCCTATCAAGTTCTATTGAAAATAAGTCATAGTAAAATCGTCACTAAAATAATTTTTTATGATGATTTTTTGCTTATGTCGCAAAAAATTGACAATTAGTAACTTTTTTATCATAATTTTTAAAATTGATGTTAAAACTTAAAATTAGTGACTTTTTTTTTATGACGAATTTTTCAAACTGTCATTAAAAATTAAAAATTAGTGACTTTTTTTTAACGATTTTTTAAACTATCGCTAAAACTTATAATTAGTAATATTTTTTGTGATAAAATTTTTAAAATGTCTTGAAAATTAACAATTTGTAATGTTTTTTAATATTGTTTGATGAAAAATACCATTAATTATCATAAGACCTATTAGATAATAAATTTACCTATAGGACCTATATATGTATATAAGTCCCTCTAAAATGATAACCAAAATAATATCATAATCAACGTTACATTGAGTCATAACTAACACCACAATATGTATAACTAAATTATAATTAGTTTTCCAATAGATCATAATCGAAAACCACAAATGTAGTAACTAGAGGCATATAGAGATGTGTGTATGGCAAAATTTCTCTAAGGTTTCGTTTGGGAAGTAGATTAATTTTTTGATTATTTTAATATGGAGCTAAAAAATTCATTTGGGTTGAATTTTTTTAACTTTTGAAAGAAAAAAAATGAAATAATTATGATTTAAATATTCCCTCCGTCTCAAAATATTAGTCCCTTATTCCATTTTTCATTGTCCCAAAATATTAGTCCCTCTTCAAAAATAAGTACAAAAATAATATAAATTTCCTATTTTTCCCTTGTTTTAAATTAATAAACAATACAAAAAGTACAATTATGACATTGATATTTTCAAAAAATGTACTATCAAAAGGATAATTTTGGAAAAACAATTTTTTTCAAATGCAATAATTGTACTACTAAAAAAAAGTTGGATTCCCCAAAAGGGACAATTATTTTGGGACGGAGGGAGTATGATGTTTTGTTTTATTAATTTTTAACCTATTTTGTTTTTTTAAGCCCCAACTTTATTTTAATCCCATGCCAAACGAAAACTGATGACTATTTTAGAAAGATGGTTATAATTAATTTTTTTGCAAAAAGTTGAAATTTTTTGTGAGAGAGAAAAGTGGGTTATAATTTAAAAAATTAATTATAACACACTTCCCAAAAGACTCCTAAATTAAAAAATTAAAAACAAAATATGAAGAAGGCTGTTTTTGTAATTTTGATTGCTTGTGATGTGATCAAAAATATCACATGGACCTAAAAATCATATTATGACTTGCTACCTGCATCAAATTATTCCTCACCCTACTGCTCCAGATTCTCTCTCTCTCTCTCTCTCCCCCTCCCTCTCCCTCCTCCATTTTGATGCATATTTTCTCTCTCTTCCCTAAACCTTAAGGAAACGAAACACAGAAACCAAAGTTCGCAGTAAGCAACAAAAGCAGACTCTCAGATGCCATCTTGATTCTCTTCACTACCAACAAAAATACAGCCTTAACATTCTCTCTCTTCCATATTCATGAAGCTGTGAGAAATCAGATTCAAGTCGCTATCATGTTCGTTTTCCCCTAACGGTACGTTTTGTGTGGTTTTATACATAGATTGATACGAATTGCTTGTTTTATTGATCTGTTTTGACCACTGAATTGACGTGAAATTTGCGATCTTGTTTGGCGATCTTATTGTGATTGAGGTCTTTATATATATAGATCTGATATGGGTTAGTATAATTGTGATTCAATTTGGGGATTTTAAGCTCTCGATCTGGAAATTTATCAACTTGGCTTGCCATCGATTCAAGATTTGGGCTTGAAATCTGAAATGCAAGCTCTCTTCTCTAAGTTGAATTCATAATTTTGTGTCTTCAATGTTATTGCTCTTTGCAAATCAATTTTCAATCATTACATGAGATTCTAATATTTGGGTCCACTTTACTTTTAAGTAATTAGGTTAGTCATGATTGTTCTGTGAGTGAATTTCCTGTATCTTTATTGTAATTATTGGCTAATTTTGCTAGAACTAGTTGCAAATTTAGGGTTACATAGTAAATTAATTAATAGTTATGCTTACAGATTGTTTTTAGTTTTAAATTAATATACTCACAATTTTTTTGATCAATTTCTAGAGTTTAACTTGTAGTTTTCAAGTTTTTTTTAGATCTTCGAGCTCAAACGAATAGTTCAAGGATTATGTAGTATAGCTATAGTAACAATGTCTGCTATTATATTGTTCCCATAGATGCTACTGCTGTAAATTTGATTGGATGGTAGCTATTTTTCAGAAAATTGGGTTACTGAAACAGACAAAAATCTTGGGTTTATGCTGAAGTGTGCAGATTCTCTTATGGAGGAGGAGGGATAAAGATTTTTCTGCAATCTTCCGTAAGAAATAAAAGAAAATGGCTCCAGCTAACAAGGCTGAAAAGAAGGCATCAATTGATGCGGCTGCATGGATGTTCAATGTAGTAACATCTGTTGGGATCATTATCGTCAATAAAGCCTTAATGGCCACATATGGCTTTAGTTTTGGTAAATTTCCTTTTAATGTCTTGTCATTATATTTGATCAATTGTATTATGATGTCTTGGACAATGATGATATGTTAATTCCTTTGTATCACCTAGGTGTCTTATTTTCTCATAATGACAACTAAAACATGGGTTTTTCCTTTGGCTACTGATTAGAGAGCTTTTCAGGAACTTTCAATCAAATGATGGGTGGGGCTCTAAATTCAATTCGGCTAGGACATCTTAGGGGGTTGTATTGTGGTTGAATGTTGAAAAAGATGAGAAAAGTGAGTTAATGAAATGCAAGAGTCATAGGCATTAGTATTAGCTGGATTGGAACTGAGTAGCATGTATTTTCCTATATTTCTTGACGATTGTTCCCAACTTACATTACCTATATTGTCCTATATCGTTGTCTTGTCTATTAATCGGATGAAACAATATGGAACACTACTGCAAAGCCATATGATAATTAGGGACTTATAATGTGCTGATTCACCTAAATGTTTTGTTTTGTAGTCTGGGGATGGTGCTGGCAGTAGCAGGATTGGGTAGGAGAGGGGTGGCCAGTGGGGATGGAGGTTGGGAAGAGGAAGAGAGAGAGGAGGGGCATTTTTGTCATTTCAAATTTGGATTATACCTTTTTGTAATTGTTCTTGATTCTCCATCATTTTATAATTTTTTCCTCTACTTTCCATTTTTTTTTTTTACTCCAACCATGTGGATTTAAAAATAAGTCAAATTTTAGACAGGATGCAAGGTAATAATAATTTTTCTACCCCTTCTGGTAGTGAATTGTAAACAATAAAACATATGGATTTGGAATGCTGTGCAAAATGTGATCAATGTATGCTCATCACGATAATAAGATAAGAGTTATTGAAGAAAAGCTATGATTAATCATAACCCATTGAGCATCGCATGGGAGCAGATGACACAATGGTAATGATCTTATAGATGTTCGGCAGAGTGTGGGAGAACAGCGTGGGATGCAACTGCTTAGGATTTTTTAGAAGTTATAATGGCCTAGGCAGGAAATTTGACTTGGATTGATACTAGATAATGAACCTCTTTTACTGAGTATAAAGTTCTATGAATTTGATTTCATTGTACATTCATCTAAGCTCTAGATTATTATCAAATTGTTTTAGATTTTGACTGCTACGGTCCTTGCAGCTACAACATTAACTGGTTTGCATTTTGTTACCACAACCTTGATGACGATTGTTCTTAGGTGGCTGGGGTACATCCAACCCTCTCAGTTACCCCTTCCAGATCTTCTGAAATTTGTTCTATTTGCAAACTTCTCTATTGTTGGTATGAATGTTAGTCTAATGTGGAATTCCGTGGGATTCTATCAGGTAAATTTTTTATTTGCTCTTGGTTTTTGGCTTCCATTATATTATAATCATTTTAGAAGTTATGGTCTTCAACATAATTTTCAGATTGCAAAGCTGAGTATGATCCCTGTATCATGCTTATTGGAAGTTGTTTTGGATAAGATTCGATACTCTAGAGACACAAAGCTCAGTATTTCAGTTGTTCTCCTGGGTGTTGCTGTCTGCACTGTTACTGATGTGAGTGTTAATGCTAAAGGTTTCATTGCTGCCTTAATTGCAGTTTGGAGTACTGCTCTACAACAATATGTAAGTAGTTTGTTCCTCTACTAGAGATCTGATATATTTGTTCAAATGTTAAATCACGTAATTTATTATCATCTTACTATAGTTTGCCTTAATTGCCTTAACAAAAACCTGTGTAGAGAAGACACGTGCACCCAGCACACCTAAAAATACTTTTTTTCTTTTCTGTAGTATAGTTCAGAAGCCTAATAAAAGAAGTCTTCAATATTAATGGTTAAGTGTGCCTATCTGGTATTCCTGTCTTTTTAGGCACTCTGTAGTTCTCTAGATTGTATAATTCCTTCAAATTGCTGTCTCCCCTCTTCAAAGGGTCTGTCTTGTGACACTGTTTCTGTATATGCAGTATGTACATTATCTTCAACGGAAGTACTCGCTTGGTTCTTTCAATCTGTTGGGACATACTGCACCAGCTCAGGCTGCATCTCTGCTGATACTAGGCCCCTTTGTGGATTATTGGTTAACAAACAAGAGAGTCGATGCCTATGACTACAGTACAATATCTTTAGTAAGTATTACTACAACATACAGTCATAATTCTCAGTTCGATATGGGTTCTTGTTGCCATTATGGTCCAAGCTTCTGATCTGTGCATATGCTTGTATGATTGGCTATAATTTTCTTCACTTTCGAATATTGGCAAATCTAAAAGCATTGCTTACTTTCGTGCATCTCATTTACTCCTAATACTTTCTTTATATTTTCTTCGGTATTATTTACCTTCTTTTTTTAGGTAAGCATGTTTGAAGATTTTAGCATCTTGAATTGAATCCAAGCCAATTTGGTTTTATGAATTAGTCTATCTATTGCTTCCAGAATTAATCAGTATAGTTCTATTTCTGTCATATTTATAATTTGATGATTCTACCAAGCTACTGTTATAGTACCCCTATTCTTTTCCTTTCTGGAAGTCAAAGAACAGAACAATGAGCAATGAAAATCGTCCATATTCACACAAAAAAAGGGACAAATAAAACTGAAAAGTGAAATTTAGCTACTAGATCATGATGGATGTGAACTGCTTGTTGTATTGTCTAGGTCATACCTTCCAATGTACGACACTAAGGGTGAGTATCCCTTTTGTTGTTGTGCAACGTGCATATCTATTTGCATGTGAAAGATTTATCTCCTGGGTAAGGATGCCGTTTCAAGAGCTCTGATGGGTTTAGATATATTAAGTTTCACCATGTTGAAACAATTTTCATGGATTCTTTGCAACTAATCTTTTAGTAGTGTTATTCTTTCCTTTGTTAACTACTACAAAATTATAGCTGAAAATTGGGGTGGAAACTTTTGCATAGGGGTTTTTCGTTGGCTCTCCTATCTTCTCGTGGTTACTTTAAACACTATTGTATCTCAAATATAGCTTTTACTCATTCTTTCATTTTTTGGATTATGAAAAGAAAAACCCATTATATGCAAAATTGTTGTTTCATTCATGGCACAAGACTACTATGTGCTTTCATAGAAGGATGAGTTTATTGGTGACACTCAATTCTGTCTGCATCTTATTCTCTGCAGGCGTTTATAATCCTTTCATGCACCATCGCAGTAGGGACCAACCTCAGTCAGTTCATCTGCATCGGCAGATTCACAGCCGTGACGTTCCAAGTACTCGGCCACATGAAGACAATCCTTGTTTTGATCCTTGGATTTTTGTTCTTTGGGAAAGAGGGTCTAAATCTACAAGTGGTCATAGGCATGTTCATAGCTGTACTCGGAATGGTTTGGTATGGCAACGCGTCATCTAAACCTGGTGGTAAGGAGCGTCGGAGCTATTCAATGTCTAGCAGCAAACAGAAACATGCGGAATCTGCAGAACTTGACGACAAGGTCTAATCCTTTTCTGAGCTCTAGTGAAAGCATACAAAGGTAGTAGCTTATACCAGGAATTTTTTTAAAAATCATCGGACGATAGTTACACCTTCCTCTCCACACACCCAATTATTGTCAGATTCCTCTTAATTTTGTAATTCTTATATTTCTTTTCTTGATATTGAAATCCCTTCGGAATAGGGTTTAGATTCCCTGAGAATTATCATGTTTGGTTCCTTGATTATAATTTATATAGTGATAAATTTTCTGCCCCTTATCATGTTTTTGCTTTTTTTCTTCAGTTCATATTATGAAGAACTGAATTGTTCAAGAACTGAATTGTTCAAAAACTGAACAGGTCTTATGACTGCTTTTTACAAGTGGAAGTCCAACTGAAAAGTTGACTTGGTACCTGTAATAAATAATAATCATGGCAGCAGAGTTTCCCAATTTATTTAAAATAAAAGAGTAAGAAAAAGGTTATTTGGGTTTTGAACATTGTCTTCAAAAAAAATTTATAACTCACATTTTAAGAAATATTAAAACCTTGTTTTTAAATTTTCAAAAATTGTTTTCACACATGAAAAATATGAAGCAAGAAGCAAGAGGAGCTTTTAAACTTTTTAGTCAGAAGCCCAAAAAATGGTCAAAATTCATCATAATTCTCCAAAATACAAACAAATTATAAATTTATTTTGCATATTTTAATAAAATTTTATTTTATTTGCGGTTTCACCTAACATCCTAGATAATTCCGTTATTTTTGCTAAAATTTTTGAATTATTAAAGACTCCTACGTTAAGTACTACTCTTCTAAGTTTATGTTTGTACATATTGTTTCCTGGATTTGGAACTTGTGGGACCTATTTTGAATTCTATTATGATAATTTAAATTGTTTAATTTTTAAGAAACATGAATAAAATATTTTTATAAAAAATTAAATTGATCAAATATCGATTTGATACTTAATTTGTAGAGAATTGAATGCCTTGTTTGGATCCTTAAAAATTGTCATCAATAACCAGCCGCCTATGGAAGCTCCACTTGACCAATAAAAAGTAAATAAGGATTTAGCAATTTTTAAATAATAACGCTATACGTACTAAGTAATATGCTAACTAGCGTACCAATTGATGATGTGACATAATTTAAGAGGTTTTAAAATTTATAATGTGAATAATAAATGAGGTCAATAATAATGTTATTATTAATGTTAATACACTAGTTAGTATACTAATAAGTGCATGCAACACCACCGATTTTGAAATATCATGTACTATTGTATACTTAATGCTCTTAATTAACGAATACCGCAAGAAAAAAATTTACAGGTAAAATGATAGTGATTCGTCTTTATTTAGCTAAGATGACTCCCCTAATGTATTTTGCAATTCTTCACCACGTAGTTATATATATATATATATATTCCCTTAATCAATGGGCTATAGTTTTATCAGTTAACTGCCAGCTCTCTTTTTTAGCCCATATGAAACAAACTGCCTTCTTTATATATATATATATATATATATAATTAATTATAATAAATAAATAAATAAATAAACAAAAGGCATGAACCATGGCATGGCACTAAACATGGCAATGGATTGATTCACAAAGCCATGGCACTAAACATGGCAATGGATTGATTCACAAAGCCATGAACGATTTTAGACAAGAAATTCACAGCTCCATCAGAGTCAGATTCATGGAGAAAAACAACACCAGCAGCACAATTCCCAACAGATATATCAACATAATTAGAGCATTAAAATTAGAGAAAAGAACTCGATTGTTGAAAAGCCGAGGCAGCCTGGCATTTGCCATTCTTGTGCCAAAAGAAATCCATGGTGATCCATCTACTCACCAAGAATGGTTTTGGGCTCAGCAGTACAAATACAACTTCCTCGAGCGAAAGAAATTTAGACACTGACATAATAATGCCTGTATTATCGCTCGTCTGCTACAATCTCGCTGTACACCAATCACTACCCGCCTGAAGGATTGTAATGACATTTTTGCGACTTTTTTTTCTTCTCTGGCCCTACCTGTACTGCATCCTTCAAGCAAACTGGTTTTTCTGTAGTATTCATAAATCCTCACATGTAATGAATATTCAAGTGAACCCTAAAGCAACTATAAAATACTAGAAATGTCAAAGTCAAATTGATATGGTACATCCTAATTCCTTAGCAGCAATGTCCAGAAATTGAATAGGCATTCCGGTTGCAAGTCTGCTATGAGCTTCCCACGTTAGACACTTTCCGATATCTGCTAGCCAGTCAATGGTGCCTACATCAAGGTATCGATAAGGGGCTTCGTGTATGGCACTTATTTCCACTTGTTTAGTCCTACTAGATTTTATTGGAGCATAATGCAAAATATCACGAAGAACTGACGTGCTAAGAGTACGGACGTGAGCACTTGGATGAGAAAGGCATCGTATTGTTGCCGGTAGACGACACTGCATGCATTCATCAAGGTAAATCAAATTTATGAGCCATCTTTTTGGCCCAAGTATGAGCCATCTTTCCATTGGAGAGCATGAGAATACATCACAAAGTCGGATATAACCCTCGCACGTGAGGCAAGTCCCACATCCTTGTGAGAGGGTTGTGTCCGGTTCTGTGATTGATTTTGTGCAAGAAGAAGAATTACAAATTTATTTTCACTAGGGGTGTTTTTACCTTTAAAAGATTTGAAAGGCCATCTGCAACTGCCAATCCCGATTCACCCCACTCAAGAACAGGTTGAATTGCTCTAGCGGTTGCTTCCAGGAGCTGCATGTTCATCATTTTGGAGAAAACATTAATACACGGTCAAAGCATGGGATGTTAATCAGATTTTTTCAATGCCAAATCATGCTAACCACACTTCCAAGGGATGGATATCATAGAACTCGAAATGTAAGTGAGCACTTAAAACCAGTATGTCGGTAAAAATACCAAATTTTACAATCGAAGATAAAGGATTTGAACGAGGATAGTGTATTTGATTGATAAAATGCGAGATTTTACCTCGAGCTGTGGCAAAGTGCATGCTTCTCCGTCAACGAGCATCCCGTCTGTAGCACGCAGAAGAAGATCTGAAGCACTAGCCAAAATTACCAATGATTCTGGGGTATCGTGATTTCTCATTAGCTCCACAATCAGTTTCACGATTCGCTGGTTGATTCTCCACATCTTTTGTCCTCGATCATCATCTTTAGCGATCCAAGGCTGCAATTCCCTCTCGGCCTGACAAGCAAATAAGGGCAGAAAAAGTGACTAAACAAATAAAGTTGCTAAAATCAAACTATGCAAAATGTTGAGATGCTAGGACACTTGCTAGGTGGCACCTCTGGCAAATCAGGAATTGAGAAGAAAAAAATAGTTGTTTTCATCAAATTTTTGCAATGTAATCAAAGTAGTTTCCAACAATCTAATGCCTTTGTCCACCATTATCAAAAAATGGTGTTATTAAGGTGCTGTTTGGTAATGTTTATAGTTAACTATTTTTGTTTACAAAAAATTATACACGTTTATGTTTATTTTTAGTAAAAACCAAAACAAAAAAAATATTTGGTACATTTTAAAACAAGGAAATGGATAGTTGATGGGAGGTGGTGGCTGAATGTGGTTGTCGACGGTTGGCCAAAGAGCATTGTTAGCCAACGGAAGTGCTAACCGGAGTTCTTGCTCTCTAGAGATGGTGACCGAAGATGGTTTCCTGACAGTCGGAGATGATGGTTGAAGGTAATTGCCAGCAAGAGTTGGTGTACAAAGGTGATTAACAGCGACCAAAGCTGGTTGTTGGCCATGGGGGTTGATGGCTGGAGGAGGTCACCGGCAATGGTGGTAAGAGGCAGTGGTGGTCGGACGTAGTGATAAGCTGTGGGTAGTGAGCCATAGGGGTGGAAGAAGGATGGAGGAATGAAAAACTTTTTTCTAAACAAGTGAAACGAACTTTTTTGTGGTTACAATAATTTAGTAAATTTTGTAAACAATTTACATATCTTCAAAAGCGAATATAAACACCAAACAAGTTTTTGTTTACAGGTTTTTAATTTTTTTTTGTAAATATAAACTGAAAACTAAAAACATAAAAGTTACCAAACAGACCCTAAGTGAGTGAAAAAGAGAAGTTCACGACATCATTCAAGTAATTAAAACTATAAGTTGAACAAAATCTGGACCTGAAGAACAACGGCTGTTGCAGCTTTTGTTGGTGTTGCTTTTATGACATTGCATAGTGCATCAACCACCTGTGCATTTAAATTAGATAGTTAAGACACTTTTATAGAGAGTAGCACAAATGGATCTAATCAATTGAATGTGATTAACTAAATATGCTGAACTAATTAACTGACTATGCTGAACTAATGTCTAGCAAAGAGAAGCAAGAAGATAATCAAAGAGATCTTAAAATGGTTATCAATAAAGAAAAATTCAACTCCGCCATGAAACATGCATTGCATTCAATTAGTTGTCGAATTCAACTCACATAAGAATTTTTAAAATTTTCAATATGCTTGATCTTCAATGGGATGATCATTTAAGAATGAAAAAAAAAAAAAAAAACGCATTTTTTTGTTACAATTAGGACATTTTGAAGCAAAGACCCAAAAACAATAATTTTGGTGTCTTATTTCAGTTAGCTTGGAAACATAAGGCTAATGACAAAGGAATTTGGAAATATATTGAAATGTTTGGAAACAAAACAAAAACCTATATATAAGGTTATAAATTCAACTAATATCAAACAAATCAATCTTATCAAGAACAAGTGTACACTATTCTAGATGTGCATTCCAACCTAGAAAGGGTCTACAAAATTATCAAAAAATAACAAAACTAACAATATTAATAGTAAAAAAAGGTCAAAAGGTTTCCAAAATGTGAGAGGTACTTTAGGAAAAGAATGTTAAAAGTGTTGCTTTTATTTTTATTTTTCAACAAGACAGTGAAGGTCCATGAATATTAGAAGCTTCCAAACAACAAAATTCAGTGATTGGAATGTGAAATAATCTGAAGAAATTATTACATGAAATTCAAATATTGCACATTACCTGCCTCCATCCTTGCTGGGCAGAAGTACTTTCCGCACTAGGTTGTGTTTCGGGCGCTGCAATCAATTTGTACCACAGCAAGGAAACAACAGAGAAACATAATTCTTGCTTCTCTGCCAACACTGACCTCAGAAGAACATGTGCACTACAATTAAACCCTATATGCCTATCCATTGTGAGAAAGTTCGCCAAATCTGAAGCATCTAATGGAAAATTCGCAATCCCTTTGCCTGTGAGATTTCCACTGCCTTCACTAGATTGTGAATCTCTCACACTCATAAGTGAAGTTTCCAAATCGATCGAATTATCGCAATGCAACGAAGACGTTTGCACTGATTCGGTGCGGCTAGTTGTTGCACATTTATTTTGTTTTATGCCATTAAGACACACTGGAGTATCTTTCCAAACCGGTCCGTGCATCAAATATGCTTCAAGTGGTTCGGCTTTGTTGACTATAGATGCAACAGCCTTGCTGTGTATATCAATGAGATTATATAGTGAAGATGCTCGGGAGTGAATTTCTTTATCCCACTTGCATCGCATCAAGACGGAGAGAGCATGCATACAAGCCTTTGACCGTCTGAATAGTTCGGAGATATGAGCCGCAACCATAGCTGCAGCAACTATCTCATTTGAACTGTAACTCCACGACGTGCCAACCAAAGACGGTTTCAGTGAAAAAAGAGCCTCTAAAATTGCCAATATTCTGTGAGTATGACGAACCGCCGAGTCAACACTGTTCCGGAACTCATTAGAAGATCCATTGATCTTTGCAGGCTTTGCTACATCATGCATGTCTTTGAAATCTAAATGGTTACTTCCTTTTGATATCAAAGGGAACAACTGAAGTTCACAAGAAAGAGCACAGACAGCCGCTAATACATAAGAATCAAATGCTGCTACAGGACCTTGCTTTTTTGTTTTCCTATTTCTCTTTTCTCTCTGGTTGTTTGACATCACTTGCAAGTCCTCAACGATTTCATCGGAAGGATAATTATCTTCACCTTTTGGCCTTTTGCTCGCAATGTGCTGAGCTTCGTGACTGACACACACAGTCAACACAACAAAAAGTAAGCGAGAAGCAAGCTCCAAGGAGGCACATGATTCCAGAAATAATGAGTGCACCATTGTACGAAGCTCGGCAACAGCAAGATTTTTCGAGGCAGACCCAATACCGAAAAGAAATCTTGTTTTCCTGATTTCTTCTCTGGAGGACTGGGGTGGAAACGTTCTTTGAAGAATGGCTTCAACAGTGGCAACAAAAATTTTCATGAGACATGCTTCAGATGGACTTCCACGAGGAAGATACTCCAAGACTTTAAGGAGAGGTATGTATAAATTCCATGATAAAATGGGAGGTTGCAAGGGGGTTGCGACTATGATTTCAGGAAGGTCGACGACTGAGGAACTTAATGGAATTAGGCCATAAGCTGCTTCCCATATCGTACATATTCTCCATTCAACCTCAGGCCCATGGGCACAAAGCATCGATGCAATCCCTTGGGCAGTGGCTTCGATTGTTGCTTCAGCGGCAGGCACTTCTATCTGATCAAAAATTTTGTTAAATTCGTTAGTAAACCCTCATACAAAGGAATCCAAATTCAAAGGCATCACCAGAAGAGGAACCAGAAAACAAAAAATTCAAAAACGATTTTAAAAAACTAAACCAAACAGATTGCCCAATACCTGTTTCCTGTAGCATGAAATATAAGTAGGCGGAGGATCATGTTGAACTTCAACTCCTTCGACTTGCCTTAGTGGAGGAAAAAGCAATGCAGGCTGTGAAAGTACACGAAAAAGCAGCGCTGCGGCAGCATCTGCAGCAATGCCAGCTCTCATTGACATTGCAGTCCCAATTGCACGCAGAAAATGCAAATGCATCCAGTTTCTTGGAAGCTGCATCAACAATTACAATGATTAATTCACATGTTTGGAAAAAAATAACTTCACAAGTCAATGAATCTCTCACATTAGAAAATTTGTATCTATGCCAATTTTAAATCTAGTTCGCTGACAAGAGCCTACATCAAATTAATTTGAGACAAATTACAATCTATCGATTTCATCTATTTCCTAAATTTGGTTAAATTTATTGACTTGTAGATTATTTTTTTATTTGACATCCTTCATCATCATCAATTTGTGGGCGGGCAGATTTCAATTTCTACATCAAGCCATTGGTTCTACTGTCTTTTTTATCTTGCAAGTTGCAACCCTCCCTTTATTTTTGTGTTTTAATTTCATTAAAGGTTCTCGGTCTTATTAGGACAGTGATCATAGCAATCATAGCAAAGTTCCCAGTAATAATGCAATGTTGAGTAAATAAAGAATGTGGAGATACTAATTTCTTTGTGACATCGATCTCCAGCATAGCATCAAAGTGTTATTTATTTAAACAGTTGAAATCAAGATGATTTAACTCACCCTCATGCCAGTTGCATAATCTTCAGCAGCTCTAAGCAGTTCCACTAGTTGTACAGCAGCATCAAGTGCATCAGGAGCCCATGATGGTGGCGCTTCTAGTAGTCCAAGGAGAAGCCTTTGGGTGGCGCTCGGACTCGCAATTGCATAATAGCTAAGCCAAAAGAAAGACAAACTTAAGTACTATTTTCAAGTAGTTTCAGTGGACTACAGTGAAAGGTCCAAAAATTTACCGATGAAATAATCGTGCATATGGCTCAAGAGCAGGTAGCCCTGCAACAAGGTGCTCATCCATAGCCGTTGTTGGAGGAGGAAGCAGAAGTGCAGGAACAGCAGCCGCAGTTAAAGTAGCCGTCTCATAGCGAGCAACTTCCTCATCACAAACACTTAATATAACACCAGCGCCGTTGGCAACAGCCCACCTTGGAGTTGATGGCATGAGCTGAGGATGCTTCCCAGATCCACGGGAAGCTAAAAGAAAAAGAAGAAATAAAAGCCCAATCAATTAAAAATTAACTTTGTTTTGAATTGTAAATAGTTTTATCATATGTGTTAATAACATAACAAGACACTTCTTGATACAAGGTTCTTATGAAGTCTTGAGGTTTCAGAGCAAACAAACATAAATTTTGAGTTGTGGCACCAGATGAAATTCGTATTGAAGTTTGGGAGTGTTAAGAGTGATGAAGAGACAATCTTGTTGACTATTTTATTTAATAAGATCTTCAATTCTAAAAAAAATGTTTGATGAATTGATATACATTAGTTCCCACATACAAGAACAAAGGTTGATATTAAAAATTGCACTAATTATAATGGTATCAAACTTATGTCATTCAATAGAACCTTAGGAGAGAATAATAACAGAGATTATGATATGAGGCAACGGTTTCAGCAAATCAATTTGGCTTTTTGCACGAAAATCTACAATGAGAGCCAATAACACTTGATGTTCTACCAATCCAATTGCTTGTGTAACTCAAAAGTAGACTACCATAACAAATATGCATGACAACCAACACTAAACTATGTATGGACCAATCAATTGGCCAAAATCAATCACTTCAAGCAAGAATTAAGCAAATAGCAATCATCCAGTCTTATTCCACCCTATAAGAAACTATATATACTAATGAAAATCCATGTACACTTGAAAATTAACCAATATGTACTTCAAAAACAAATGTGCTTATACTCAGCTAAAATTTAAGGTTTCTAGTGAATGTTAATTATAAACATGATTTAATATGGGTGATAAATTTCTTCCATGAGAAAATACCATTTTTATTTGTAAGGAAACCCTACATATCTGAGTAAAATTAATGGAATGTTGATATTGCAATCTACATTAAGTTAATTGTTTGGATTCTATAAATAAAAATTGGGCAAACTAGTGCATGAGGCTCCGGCTAAAGTGGGGTCAGGGTAAGATGTATGTCGCTTTACCCCCATTTCCAGAAAGTTGTTTCTGTGACAATTCCCCTTCGAATAGGCTACAGAAAACCAATCTTTGCATGTGCAAGCAAGGCTAGGTTCATATAGACCGAGGTTAGCCAAGCTGAAAAGTTACTGGAATATGTGATGGAGATCAAAGTTTATTAGTTTTCTTAAGGAATTTTAAGGTATTGAGAATCCTATTGATTAGGGTTTTATGCGGATTTTTGTTAAATAGGTTTGATGTATTGAATTTTAATATTGGATTTGGAATTGAATTTACTGAGAAATTTTCCTACCTCTCACTCTCCCCCTTTGTCCTTCTTCCCTTCTTTCCTCTATAATTCTTCTTCCTTTCTGTTTCTTCCCCTTCTCATTTATCTCTTTTCCCCTTTCTCTAGAGGCTATTATACGTACTGCAGCAATAAACCCATACCAGGGTTTTAAAGTATCATGTTTATTGCCTAAAATAAGATTCATTTCCCATAAAGCCTGTTACACACCATTACAGCCTCTATTGGTAGAAAAAGAACCCAAAGACAAATTGGGCCTCATTTTGCACATTTTCTTCACATTTTTCTTACTGTTGCTGCTCTATAATTCATCTAACCTAGATCTTTATCAAGATTTTCAATTAAATCTTGAGGTGAAGCTCACGGATTTTCTTGAGAGTTCTGGCTAGTTGCAACCGTAAAAAATCAGAAGTTCCTTTTAATTTCAATGACAACTTCGAAAAACACAGGTTTCATTTTTTTTAGTGCCACATCACCCTAAAATTCAAAATCATAAGTTTATTTTGATTTTGAGAGTTGCTTTGATCATTGTAAGGATTGGCACACAAATTGGAGATGTGCACAATTACGGCTGCATCCATAAAACACCCCGTTTGCAGGTGATCCTTATTGAATTTAATCTCATTTTAGTATTGATCTTATCATTGGACAAGAACTTTCATTCATGGAGATGCTATCCAATATTTGCTCCATGAAGCTTTTTTTTTTTCTTTTTTTTTTTTAATAATTCCATATCAACATGATCCGTTAGGAAATTTGCCGCACCTAAGTTTAGTTAAAATAAGTATTCTAGTCTAAACACTCTACATACATAACCAAATGAAACTGCAGTGTATGTATTGCTACGATGTAGTTTTCTTGTCAGAGTATAGAATACCATCATGTGAAACTACACATTCAACAAGAATGTGGCAAACAAATAATTAGGACATACACATAGAATCACAATGTGTGCAAATCATAGTCCAGAAGAGGAACTCCGCTTACTAGTTGAAGGTGGCTTGAGTTCTCCAGCTGCATATTTTCCCATCACTCCACCACACCTGTTAAATGCATAAAAGTCAGTGATATTCAGGAATAAGGGATCAAAGTATGTGCTCTTACATTAATTTATTAACTAATAGCAAAATCTAGTCCGTGGATATAAATGTGATAAATTTGCGTCGTCTATTGCAAATGACCTATTCCCCACCATAGTATGACAAAGCCATTAGTTTTTTCACAGAAATTTCATCCCATGGTGATACCAACCAGCATGACTATTTCACTGAATTCAATATAAGATTGTACTTGAAACAACTGAAATTTTAATCTCCAAGTTCAAAAAACATGTGGTCTACAAATTATCAATGCAATATTGCAGAAGATTTTCTGAGCTGAATGAAAACTTCAAGCCACAAAAGAACCAAAACACTCACCAACGGAAGTAGTCGCTTCTAATACCCAGAGGTGCAGCCAACAGTATATCAGTAATCCATGGAGATAAAGGCCTTAATGTTTTCCTCTCGTGCTGTACATCCCCGTTTGCAGAGTTACTAGTTGTAGCAAGGCCGCCACTGTCACTTCTGTCTGCGTCACTGTGTTGACACTCGCTCTTGTAAATTGGGCGATTGTAGTGAGTCAAAATTCTTAAAATCTCTCCACATGCCAGAGCCCACTGTTCGGAGTACTCATTCTGTAAATTAATAAAGTAGAATCAACTCTCTAGTTTGACTCACTAAGTAAGCACATTGTATGAATGAAAGAAAAATTTTCACCACAATATGGCAATAAATTCACAAATGGCCCAAATAAATTTGTGTTGTTGTTATGTACCTCGCTACTTGGGCAGACTAAGGAAATGAAAGAAGCAAATGGAGGACTACTTCGATCATACTCCAGTGTACCGTCAATGATACATGAAATAAGAGGAAGAATGACAGCATGTCCATGCTCTGGATGATGAAGGACAAATATTGCTGGAAATTGTATATACATAAAGGAATTAGTTTGCTGCCCAAAACATCAAAGGAAAAATAATTGTACAGTCAATTGTTGTATAGATCAGAATGGGTGAAAACTGATACCTAAGACGTCATCAAAAAGGCGTCTTTCCTTCGATGGATAACGGTTACGGATCAGCTGTCAATAGAAAGATAAAAATAGAATAAGTAAGGTATCAGTTGCTAACATGTGTTATGAGCACTTTAATCAGTCAACCAATATATAATATTAGTTGATGATAATGGAATTAGTTAAGTATGTTGTTTTCCAAACCCCGAATAACAAAAGCCAGTTTTTAATATAAAAATGAAATTAAAACATGCTATATCAAAAGAAAATTTCATTCAGATATAAGAGAGAGAGAGAGAGAGAGAAACAAATTTACCTCAGCTATATCCTCCGGAAATTGTTCTGATGTGAACTGACCAAAGTATTCAACATAGGCAGTAACTTGGGCCTAGAAATAAAAGAAAGTAACTTGTCTATCAATAACAGTGAGAACTAAAAAATGTTAAAACAGTACAAGAACAGATAACAACTAGAAAGATAATATTAGAAACTTTAGAAACAGTCCAGCAAAGCAAATGCTTAAGAATTTATAATTACCATCACTTGATCCATATTACATAGAACAACCTACAGTGCCATAAGGTCCTAAATCCTTTAGCAAAAAGGAGAGTTTCATCAACTGTGATACAGTTGTAACCAAGCATAGGCTTGATTTTGGCAAGAAAGGAGTTATTACAGTGAATGCTAAAACACATATTGGTGTGAGTATCAAGTAGGGGGTATCAAATTACTAACTGCACAAACCATTTGCCAATTTTGAAATCATTAGGATATTCTCAAAATGCTCTTAAATTTTGCACTATGCAGGGTTGACTTCTGTTCTGAGACTTTGTACCATCAAGTAAATTTCTAGCAACACCTATAAATATGAAAACATTCATTTTCTATGTTAAATCCCCGTGGATTAGAGAATTCACTGAATGAGACAATTTTGTTAGTTGATAGCCTGAAGTTGCTTGCAGAAGACTTGTAAAATAATCATTTATCTTTCACATTTTTCTGTAGCCACTGCTAAGAATTTTGGGGAGCTTACGTATAAGTCCTAATAGTTAGACTTATTGTCCAATATGTCGTCCTATAATAATTAATAGCGTTTTTCATCAAACACTGTTAAAAAATATCACTAATTATTGATTTTCAATGACAATTTGAAAATTGTCACAAAACACGTCACTAATTATAAGTTTTAGCGACAATTTAAAAAAAGTCACTAATTTTTATCTGTCAGAGACAATTTGAAAAATTCGTCACAGAAAAGCGTCACTAATTGTAAGTTTTAGTGGCAATTTATAAAATCGTGACAAAAAAAGTCACTAATTTCAATTTTTAGCGACACATGCAAAAAAAAAAGTCCCAATTATTTTTATCAACAATTTTATTAAGTAGGCCTTAATGAGAATTAAGTCCAACTATTAACACCTATTGATAATTTACCCAAGAATTTTTATGGTAAAAAAGCTGGAGAGAGGTTTATTGGATATGGCGCTGTAAGCAAGGCGGCTATCTCTTTAAAGCAAAAGAGAGCTACGCTGTAAGAGGGGCAGATATCTCTTAAAGGTCTCCGTTAGTTGCCATTTGGATGTGGTAGGTTTGAAATAAACATTACTAACAGTTCATAGAAGAGATTTATATCAGACTCCTTGCTGCTGGCTGTTGCAGCAAAGTATTTTATGCTTCATTGGTACAATTGTATGAGAGTTAAATAGGAGGATGCCATTTAAAGAGGATTAAGAAGGCTTGGTTGGCGGAACCTATGCGTTTGATATGGTGTCATAATCGACTTACCTTTGATGATGTCAAGCAGGCAGTGCTTAGTGTAAAATTATTGTTTATTCATAAATTTTTAATTTTTGGATGGAAAGGAAGTTTTGCAAACCTACTTTTTCTCTTATTGATTTTATACAAGAGCTCAGTTTTGGTGAGGGGCCCTAGTTTCAATATGTATTCTATTTATATAAAGCACACAACTTTTTTATTTTTCCAAAATACCCCTAAACTTGGTAACTGCTAAAACTACACATCCAGTAACTGCTAAACGGTTTTCTAATTCAATCCTCATTCATTAAACAGCCAAAAAGTTTAGATGTACAATTGCAAACGTATCGTGTTTGCACCCATATATATGCGTGCGCGCGCGCGTGTGCTTCTAGTTAATTAGCAGGAACCCAAATTCCACTCCCCATATTCAGCATAGTAAAAACATTTAACTTGATTGGTGCAACCTAAACTTATCTCATCAGCTGCTTCTGCAGCATAACAACACGAGCAATTTATTTGGCCACATAATCAAAAAAATAAAACACAAAATTAAAAGCAGCTTATGTTCAATAAACAATAACAGAATGAATTTTTCACATTCAAGTGTTGGTTGAGAAATAATCACACCTTTCGTTGATGGGCATCTTGTGGCGGGGGCCAAAACAGCGATGAGAATTGAAGACCATCAATCCACCTTTCACATGAAGTAGCCATGTAATGTCTTCTGGGTATGAACAAAGATGCTAAAAACAAATTCCGCTACAAGCACTACCAATCAAGTATCAGAAGATTGTAATTCAACATTTCTCAAGGCCAAACAGAGTACCAGCCCAGGAGATCTCTCAATTTAATCAATAAGCTATAGAAGCTGTCAATTTTTTATCCACCTGATGAAAATTAAAGACTGCTTTGTTGTATCTCTCACTCAACTTGCAAGCTTCATGAGCTTATTATACGGATGATATTTAAGTTTTGAACCTGTGCAAAATCAATGAAACATAATAATCAAGAAAATAACATAAATTTATCATCAGAATCCTCTTAAACAAACAAGAAACAAATGAAGAAAATAAAGAGAAAAAGGAGAGATTGATCAAATACCCACCCCCAAAAAAAATTTATGAACCTAGCCTGAATTATATAGATTAGTAGTAAGCGACTGTTTAATTGGAGAAAATTGCTAGTTACTTCAACCAATAATATAAACCATTTACAAACCTTGAAACTAAAGTAACTAACAATTGCTTGGTGGCTTAGAAATCAACAAAGGAAATAGAAACCAAAATTTGAGTCTTACTAGATTCACACACACACACAAAACTACAAGTGTTTTTACTGAATCAAAACATAAACATAAAAAAGAAAATTTAAAAATTAAATTTTTTTGGGAAAAAAAAAATCCATATTGGCTAATGATTCACTTGACACAAAAACCAATACCAACCAATTTTGCACAATAAATTTGTTAGATAAAATCACGAAACAAACGAGATGGTGAATCGAATCGCTATAACCTCTGTTTGGTTGCTGAGAAGAAAAAAAAAAAGGAAAGAAAGAAACCCAATTCAATTTTTGCTCTAAAAAATGAAAAACTCAACCCAAAAAACCCAAAAAAAAAATCAACATAGTTCAGTTGTCTTCTTACCTCCTGAACAACAAAAAAACCCAAAAGATACTTTGGTTTCTTTTTCTTTTCCCACATTTTCCACAGCAACCAAACACAATTTTCACCATAAACCGTACCGAACACAAATTACATATAAACCCAAAAAAAAAATTAAATTAAATCAAATAAAATACCTGGTTCGCTTATCCTTGTTCTTTCGGGTGAATTTGTGCTCTGCTTTTTTGGGTTTTGCACGGTGACTTGAAATTTGAGGTCTTTTTTCTTTTTCTTTTCCCCTGTAGATGTTGCAGATTTTGGGTGGAGAGAGTCTAGAGAGAGAGAGAGACAGACAGAGGACAGAGAGAGAGAGTAGACAGATATAAAGAAAGAGAGGAGATCTTTAGCTGCTCTCTCTGTAATGCTTGGGATTTTGCATACGTGGCAATGATATTTTGGTTTTGCCTCGTAGGGTCTGATTGTGCATGTGACATCCATTATCATCATCATCACCACCATATACATACATACATACATGGATGCATGTGAAGCCTATGTTTTATTTATAAAAAAAAAAAAAATCAAATTATCAAAAATACTGGTAATCAGCCCCTTATTAATTATTTTGAATCTCTTATTTCTTTATACTCTTACTTATAAATTGTAAAATTTTTAGGGCCAATTTATTTTCAAAGATAGAATGAAGGAAATTGATAATGAGGAGATTAATAGTGAGGGGATTGATAGTGAGAAATTGTTAAATTATTTTTATATAAAATAATAAAACAAATAAAAAAATATAAAAATTAAACATTAATATTTTTTTAAAAAATTTCTAATCCCCTCACTATTTTTCTAATACCATCTCCACCTCCTAACTATGAATCTCCCTTCCAAGGATATTAGTAATACTAAGGTATTAGTAGTCCCAATGTCATATCTCAAAACAAATAAGGTATTAGTAATACCAAGGTATTAGTAGTCTCAATCCCCTTCCTATAATCCCAAACAAACGGGGCCTTAAACTTTCTTTTCTTTCCTTAAATAATACCAAAATTATCCTTATAAAAATATTTCATCTATTCAAATGCACACCCTCCACCCCTCAAAAAGCCTCTATTTCAAAACCTTAAAAAAACGCACAGTGGTGGAACCTCCCAAAACCAATAGAAAAAAATTTATGGTAATTAAATAGTTTTTTCTCTGCTTCATTATGAAATTTGTCTATCTGTTTGATTTTTTTCTATTACCTCTTTTCACACACACAACACAATCCACTTTTATGCTTATTTAGTTAGTTTTTTTTTATCATTCATCCATGGCCTCACTGTACTTGTATGCTCTCTGTGTTCTACCACTATTTTGGTTATCTGTTCCCGAACAAATAAATAATGTTCGGATCTGTGTTTCCGAATTTCAGTCATATGTTCAAGAGTTTAGTCTCAAAAAAATAACGAACAATATTTATTATTTTTGTCATTTTTCAAGAAACTTGTCGTTATAAGGGCAATCTTCTCTAAGCTGAAAACACCATCAAAGTTATGAATCTCTTATAAGTTTTTATTGTTGTACTCCTCTCGTCTCATGGAGTTGGGACTGCCAAAAAAAAATTCACTTATTGCCGGAGAAATGTATGCAATCAAATGGTTACCACTTTTGCTGACGAAATATTATCGCCAAAGAATTTTCAAGATTTTAAGTGTGGGTAGGTTTTAAATGTGGGATTTTGGAAAGATAGATAGGTGGTGACAGAGGTGGGTACTCTCATAAATCTTAACTCAAGATGTAGTGAATATGTGTGTTTAATTGTGAGACGAGGGATTCCAAAATTATTAATGTCATTTTTAGTAATTTCACTTGAGGTTATTATTGTAATAAAAAAGTTAAAAAATAAAAAATTTAAAATAATTGATAGGGTGTTAATAGCAGTACTCATTATCAAACCAATCAGAAAGGACAGACACTTAGGATGGGAGTGGGTGAATTTCCAAAAATAACCTCAATTTGTTGGTTCAATGGGGCAGTTTTGTGAGGATTATAAAAACAGCATATATAATTTATTTTAGGAAAATGCGGGGGACCCCAGTACGGGGCGACCCCCAGTGACCCCCAGCCCACGTGGCTGTGGGTGATTGGTCAGAAAAAAAAAAAAAAAAAAAAAAAACTGGCGAATGGCGTTGCGCCACGTCACTGGGGGTCGACCCCCAGTGGGGTCTGTAGCAGTGTTGTTTATTTTATTTGAGAATTTTTGTTATACTGTGTGGTACAGTTTCTATTTACAACTTATTAAATAGAAATAGTTTAAACATATTAAAAAATATATATTTTTTTTAAATTTAACTTTTATTTTTTAGTTATCAATTTTTAATTTTAAATAATTTTCATTAAGCACTCCAATCATGATATGTGAGTGAGGTTAGTGAATATAAAAAATTAGTGTGGCATCAACTGTTCTAGAAATATTTGAAGGAGCATACTAATGTTGTATTTTATTTATAAATTTTGGGAAAATTTAGGAAGGAAAATGAAAAATATGGGTAAAATAATAAAATATAATTTTTTTTCAAATCCTTCTTCTTTTTTTATAATTTTTAAATCATTTCCCAGATATATAAACCAATAACTTCGGAGACAACCAACTTTCGAACCTGGATGGAAGACGCCTCTTCCCTCAATTCGTTGCTTTCTAAAGAGTCTTTAGTTATTCCATTTTTATTTTTATTTTTTTCATTTTTATTTTTTTTTTGATAGGGCCTAAAGCCCGCAGGTAGTAAGTTCTTCTACCTGATGTTTAGGTAAATGTGTGGCATTTGATGGTAATAGAAGATTAGATATTGAGAGCATTTTGCACACCCTAGATAATGTCTATTCACTACAAGAATTTACACATTTTGCGACCACTTTTGCCGACTAAAAAAATTTTGGTCGCAAAAAAATGACGTTTGGCGACCAAATATTAATTAGTCGCGAATGATCATTAATTTTGGCGACCAAATATTATTGGTCGCAGAAGGTTATATTTTGGCGACCAAAAAATGAGTTGGTCGCAGAAAGTGGTATGCTTTTGCCGACCAACTACAAATTTGGTCGCGGAATGTCACATATTTTTTGGCGACCAAAAATTTAGTCGCCAAAAACTTATTTTCAGCAACTAAAAAAAATTAGTCGCCAAATATTTCACATTTAGCGACTAATATTTTAGTTGCCGTTGATTGAGATTTAGCGACTAAAAAAGTTTGTCGGCGAAGGTACATTTTCTGCGACTAATATGGTCTTTGGTTGCCAAAAATTTGGGAGGGAAATTTGAAACGTGGTGGTGGAATTGAAAGCCCTTGCTCCCAAGATCAACAAATAAAAAAAATCAAAGCCCTGACTCTCAAGATCAATTTATAGCCAATGGTTCTAATCATAAAGGAAGAACAAAGAACGCCATTAGTGGCATGGGTTAGTGAGAGAAGCTCTTCCATTCTCTGGAATTCCTAAAATTCTACGGTTTCAATAGCTCATTGATGTCGATGGAGTCTCCACAGTTTACCAAAGGGATTTCGTCTAGGGCTAAGCATGTAGTTAGGGATTCGAAATCACCAGCGTTATTTGGTTTGGGGCAAACTGAATCGGGGTTTGAGCTTAGAGCAAGGGGAATCGAAAATATCCTCTGAGGAGGTTCCTTCGATTAGTGTTAACAGATTGACGATGGGGGTTGAAGGGAGTCTTAGCCCTAGTTCGAGGTCGTTCCACTACAACAAAAAAGGTCTATGGTGACGAAAAAATATTTCGTCTCCAAATATGCATGTTTTAGTGATGAAAATAAGATTTCGTCTCCAATTGTATTATTTTTAGAGACGAAAATCAAATTTCGTCACCAAATGCTTAAAATCAAACAAAACAATAGGTGACGAAAATTTTATTCGTCTCTAAATTTTATTTTTCGTCACAAAACAATTTCCCGCCCTTGGAAAATTTGGCGGAAGATTAGGTGCCATTTTGGAGACGAAATTTTTCGTCACCATTGTAAAAAATTTTAGAGAGGAAATAATTTCGTCTCCAAATGTATTATTTTTAGAGAGGAAAACCAAATTTCGTCACCAAATGCTTAAAATCAAATAAAACAATAGGTGACGAAAATTTTATTCGTCTCTAAATTTTATTTTTCGTCACAAAACAATTTCCCACCCTTGGAAAATTTGGCAGAATATCTGAGCGCCGTTTTAGAGACGAAAATTTTCGTCACTATTTTACAAAATTTTTTGCGAGGAAATAATTTCATCTCCTGTAATTTTATTATGCAAAATGGCGTAGTTTCAGGCTATAAGTAAGAACCCTCTTTGTTTGGTCCTATTTTGCAAAGTCCTCTCTCTCTCTCTCTCTCTTCGTTTCATGCCCTCTCTATCTCTCTCTCCCACCGTCTCCACTGCTCCTCTCCCCTCTCTCTCTCCCGCCAGTCCTCTTCGCGTTCGCGGGCAACCGGAGCTCCTCCTCCTCCTCCGGCATCGCCACTATTTGATCTCACTCCTGTCAAACTGCCCATCGCTCTCTGTCGGTACACTGTATCATCGCCACCGTCAGGAAGGGCGCAAGGATCTTTTTGATTGGCTATCAAGGCAACTTAGTGGATTAAGCAATTTTCCTGATGCTGTAAATCTGAATTATGTATTGTTTCAAATTGTTATGCTAGATGGATGTGACTTGTGAATGAAAACTTAGAAATTATGTATTGTGTCGAATGTTAATGAATTATGTATTGTGTCGAATGTTAATGATTTAGTTAATTTGAATGATACTTTAAAATTATAGGTTTATTATGGATTGAATGAATTATTAGGAATTATAGGTGTATTGTTTTCCTGCTTTGGCGATCAATTTATTAGTCGCGACAAATATATAATTTTTTTTCACAAAAAATGACAATTGCCGACCAATAGCTTTGGTCGCAAAAAATACATCTATTACCGACCAAACAGCTCTTGGTTGTGGAATCTCACTTTTGCCGACCAAAAGTTTTGGTCGCGAATTCGTAACAAATGGCGACCAAATTTTTTGGTCGTGGAATGTCACAATTGGCGACCAAACTTTTTGGTCGTTGAATGTGATAATTGGCGACCAAACTTTTTGGTCGCGAAATGTGTCAATTGGCGACTAAGATATTTGGTCGGGAAAATATCACTTTTCGCGACCAAAGTGTTTTAGCGACAAAATGAATTAGTCGCGGTAATTGAATATTTAGCGACCAAAAATTTAGTCGGCAAATTTAACTTTTGCCGACCAACCAAAACTTTGGTCGCGAATTACTTTTGCCGACCCTCAATTGGCGACCAAAGCAACGACCAAAAAAATTGGTCGCGGATAACTTTTGCCGACCAAAAATAGACTTTTAGCG